GGGGGTTATGGACACATGGTAAAAGTGCAGCCAGAGCAGCTGCTGTTCCCCTGGGCTGAGGGCTGAGGGGTTGGAGCTGGGAGTGCAGTTCAGAACCACTGGTTCTGGTTTTGCATCTGGGTGGAGGAGAACGTAGGGTGAATTCCCTACAAAGAATCCAAAGAGCAGAAAGGCATTTCTCCTCCCAGCAAAATCAGGGCACTTGGGCTACACCTGATTTTTTGCAGTGCTGGAACCGTCCCCACCCCCCCTCCCTTCCCTGCTGAGGTGCTGCTAATTAACAGCCTCCAAAATAATTTTAGGATTTGAGTATTTTATCATTATTTTGGGGCTAGAGAACCTTGTGAAAACGGTTGAGTTTTGTTTTCCTTAAGGTTTTGACTTCTGGAGACATGCTGTTGTGCAAGGACCTATTTATAGAGTTCCTTGTAGCAGAAAACTCCAAACCAGGAGGAAATCCGCTTTCCTCTTCCCCCTGCACCCCAGGACAGCAGGGCTGAGCCCTTCTCACACAGGCATTGGGGGGGGTTGGTTTAATCCTAAATTAGGGGGCCTAGGCAGGGGCAGGGTTTGGTGGGGAGCACAGGGGAGGACACAAAACGTTCAAGGGAGGCTTTAACAGCATTTCCACTCCATTTCTGGTGTTGGCACCCCTGGTGTTGGGGTGACCCTGGCAAAGATGATGCCAGGTCCTTACAGCCCCACAGCCATGTGTGGTGGGAGGAGGAGAAGGCACCAACCATCAGTTGGGGTGAGCTGGGTTAAAATCACGCGATTTTTTGGTGTTTATATGGTCTGGCTGCTGTGTGAGCCCCACCTGCTTGGTTCTTTCCACCCCTGGGGCCTGTTCCCAGCAGGGAGAGGGACAGTGCTGCTGGTTGAGCGACAGGAGGTTTCTTGGCTTCAGCTCCTGAAGCCTCCCCTGAACATGGTGGGTTGGAAGGGTTGAGGTGAACACATACACTGTCCTGGGGGATTTGCATCTGGGGTCATGATGCTGGTAGATCCATCGAGTTGCCAAATATTCCCTTGGAGTATTTGTGCTGAAAGTGCTTTCCTCCCACACTGTCCTGGAGGGAACCCACCTTTCTTCATGTTGCTTCCTGGCTGCTTTCTCCTAAAAGGAGGTGTCTGTCGCTCTGTGCCAATGGTCAGGGATGGTGTTGCTGCCCCACCAAGATGTGCTGTGGGATCCTGGCCAGTGAGTCAGGTGGGAGTCCCAGATATCCATTGAATATAAGCTTGGCCAGCCTGTTCACTGCCCTCCTGGACAGAGGCTGCCCTTTCCCTTTTGCTGGAGAAATTAAATATTGCCTGGGCTGCTTTCTGAGCCCTAGCTGGGGTTAGTGGACCCTGAAGTCCCTGTGTTCTCCTGGTGCTGTATCCATTATAAACATGCTTATAGGAAGGACTATCCAGGGCAGGGAGAAGCCCAACCTGCAGCCCTTGAGCTGACTGAGGGTGAAGGAGCAGGTTGAGGCTTCATGTAGAATTCATGTTGCCTCAAGAAAGCCCCTCCTGCCAGTTAAAACACATGGTCTCAGCTGCTTGGCCAACCCAGTCTGCCCCACATCCTCATCGTGTCCTGGCTGTGGCTTCCCTTTCATGCTCAGGGTTTTGGCCAAGCAGGAACAGCAGCCACCCCTCTGCAGGTCCCAATTCACCAGCCAAACTGACTTCAAGGCAATAAAGACACTGTTTTAAACAAATCAAACCAAGTTTATTTTCACAAGAGAGTATCTCCAGTAATATTTTATTCATGGCTTCCAGCTCACACAGTTTCACTGCTTGAGATTCTCTGCATTAACATCGATGCCATGGAGGGGGACTGAGCTGATTCCACCTGGGACACACAGGATTAGTTCTTTTTGAGGGATTTAGTTCTTAAAAATGAAGTGGATATGCCACTCTGTTCCCATGCTTGTGGTGCTATATTGGCACCTTCCAAGCAGTTTGTGGGCAGGAGCTCTGCCCCTTAGCAAGCAGCTAGAGGATAGTAATGCAGCTAAGAGGACCAAGCTGTAGTTTTGCACAGCAAGGCTCCAGGAGTGCTGAAAAGCCAGATTTATGGAGAGAGGGCTGCATTCCTTCCCTGCTACACACTGCAGCATCCCCACCCACCAGCTGTGTCCCAGCCTCGCTGCAGCTACACCCCATCCCAGCAGAGGGGCCTTAAACGAGCTGCTTCATTCTGGGGAGTCCCACAGCCCCAAGCAGTCAGGTCTGGCTGTCCCTGTGTGTTTGCTCAGGGTGAAATTCGAGGGCTCCCATTTCTCTTTGCAGCTCCCTCCCTCCCACTTCATCTGAGAAGGTGTCCTCTGCTCGCCCTCGCTCCCGGGTGTGTCGGGTCTCACGTGTCTCCCTGGCAGTGAGATGGTCCTGATAATGGCCTGAAATATCCTTTGGTCTTGTAGAACTGGTGCAGCCCTGATCGTGTTACAGCTCCACTCATGATCTTGATCCTGCTTACTTCGGAAAACGGCAGAGGGATAGTCCCATCTGCTCCTAAGAAAGAGGAATTAACAATTCCCTGTTCCTTGCCAAGGGCCAGAGCTCTGAAGCATGACCTCTTCTCACATGTCTGTTGTCAGATGTGCTACCTGCCTGGGAGAACCCAGAAAGATTAGGACTTGCTCCCTTTGGCTCATGTCTCTTCCTTATTTGTCTCACTTTAGGACAAGTTTTTAGTCTGAATCGTTGGCTTATCCTGTGTAAATACCCAGGAGCCCAAACCTCCTTGCCAGGGTTTGCTTGTCAGTGAGTTATGTTGATAGGAATTATCAGATCACAAAGAACCACCCTGTAACTCCATACCATGGGACAGCTGGGAACTTGTCCAAAACAAAATGCACTTCCTGAGCAGGGGCCAAGCAGCCAGATCTGCTCAGCTCCCGGGGCTCTGAGTCCACAGGCTAAGCTTGCCCTTGGGTTTAGTTCTTAACCCAAACTTCAGAACTGGGTGAAACCAACTTAAGTCGTGAGCTCAAATCTGTCCCATTTGCTCCCCTCCAGCCCTGACAGACCAGAAAAGAACAACAGATTTAAACACTTCACAACTGGAGCTCATCTCCTGCAAAAAGGGAGTAGAACTGAACACCAGGAGCTGATGCACAGACCCATTTCACGGTTTCTCCTGCACCCATTAAACAGAGGTGAGTTTGTAAGCAGGTGCCTCCATGCTCATGTGCCTGAGGCACGGAGCAGTTCCTGGAAGAATGCAATCCTGGCTGCTGTAAGAGAAGACCCACTGAGCTGTTCAACAGTGCCACGCTGTGTTTTAGGATCCTCAACAGAAAGAAGCGATGCCTCAGGAGCTCCTCCAGCGTTTTTGCTGCTCTTTAAGGAAGGCAATAGACTGTATAGTTATCACCTGAAATGGGATCAAATCCCTCCCACCAAACTATACAACCTACTACCTCACCTCCACAGAGCAGAACGGAGGACTCGCCCGACTCAGGGACGCTGCAGATTCACAGATTTGCTTTCCTTGCACCACCTGCCTCCATGCTGGGTGTAGAAGTAGATGATGAGAACTTGGTGTAGAAGCAGATGATGAGACCTGAAGACCTGACTGTCTCCTTAGGAAAGACAGTAGATTGTATAGTTAGCTCAAAGGGAGGACCAGACTCCACAACTATTCAATCTACTACCTCAGCCTCAAGGACAGCTTGGGACCGTGGCAGCCTGAGGCACTGAGATGATCTTTGTCCAGGCATCTGCTCCTCTGCGGCTCCTGTGAGGAGAAACACAAGAAAAATCATCAGAATTCATCACACCAGGGGAAAGGAGAGTCATATCCAACCTTGTCCTGGAGCGCTCCTTCCTTCTTTAAACCTCCTTCAGTCCACTTAGACTAGCCCTCACCTTGCAATCTCACTGGCTGCAAACTTTATGCACCCAAGGGCGTACGGGAGCAGCAGCCCTGCCCTTGGAGCCCGGGGCCACACGTGGAGATAGCAGAGCTCTCGAGAAACTGCAGCAACGCCAAGCACAGCCAGCCAGGCTGACCTCACCTCCTGAACACACAGCGTATCTAGAACAAACCTGCCAGGCCAGATAAGAGAATCCATCAATTTAGCTGCTGTGCACTCCAGGGAATTGAGCAGATTAGAAATAACTGAGTACAAGGAAGCTTTTAGGCTGCAAATGTAATGGTATCGAGTACATCAAGGCAGATCTTATTTCCTAAACAAATGAGTGCAACATGCAGCCGTGCTGTCCCTCTAATGCTGCAGCCCAGCCAGGAGGTATTAGCATGGATCCAGACAGACTGGCTTCCCCCCAAGCCCTTGGCTCACCTTCTGAGACTTTCTCATTCTCTGTACACCCAAATACAGATGCAAGGTATTAAGCTGGTAGTTGAAAAGAAACGTGTGAGGTTCTTTTGCAACGAGAAAGAATTCCCCTTGGAGATTAAAGGAAGCCATAATGATGAGGGAGCCACCAGTAGCACGCCAAGCACGTGCATCACAGCAGAGACCCAAAGACAACTTCCCATAGGAGCTCAACAGGAGATGTCCCCAACCCCCTCAAACGTGCTGCAGTGAGAGAGGAGGGGGCTAAGGCAGAAGTCCCCAAAGGGACAAAAGCTGCCTAATGCTTTGTGCTTCCACAGATAACAGCCAACAGCCTTAATTCCCAAAGGTTTGGTGAACTACTGTAGCTGGAATGCTTGTGAGAGTTTAGGGTGGCCTGGGGTACAAGAGAATCTTTGCAGCAGGCTTGGGAAGTACCCCGTTCCTTTGCAGAGCTTTCCACGAGTCCTCCTCACTGGCATCCAACACAGCCCAGGTAATTCTCTTAATTTCCTTTGACAAACTGATCCTTCACGAGGAATGACCCACTGTGCCAGGCCATCTGGCCCAGGCCTCTCCTGGTGTGACAGGGTACAAACAATGTCAAAAAACCAAGGTGGCAGGGCTGATTCCTACAGCATTTAATACCCAGCCCATCCACAGGGCCAGGTACCTTCCATCCCAAACAGCCTGCTGACAGGAAATACTATTTTTCCTGTTTTATCAGCATAGAAAGTGGTGCACAGAGGTTGCTCATCGTTCTCAGCATGTGTAACACCAGCCATGGTGGCAAGAAAACCAGTAGAGAACTGGTAGAGGATATGTGTGGCCCAGATGATTCCTGGGTGATAACACAGAAGCAGAGGATGCTCGTCCTTCTTGGTACTGAGACTTTTGGCAACTGACCTAGAGAAACAATTTTTCCTGATTCCCAATCTGGTGGCTTATATTTTAAGCATGTAAGCCAGATGTCTAGGCCAGGCATTTAAAAGGTCACTCTTGATACCATTGCAGAGTACAGGCATTTGGGCCAATCTCAAACCGTGGGTGGGAAATTACATTAAATAACTCTGAGAGCACACAGATGTAATTATATGTGGAGAGAGAAAAAAAAAAATCCCTTCTGACTTCTATAAGTAATCCTGAAAACAGAAGATTTAATTATAATAATTGTCTTAATGAATATAGGTTTTGGGAATACCCAGCTGCTGACTCTGCAATCCTGATCTTGCCAGGATCTGTGAAGAAAGGAGTCAAACAGGAGGATTTTAGAAATACTGTGCCCAGTAAGGATCACTAAGAGCATCCTACCCTTACTATCACTTGTCACACTTGTTTGTCCCCTACAAATTGCAGAGACAGAAACACCCTTTCCTGATGGCTCATGGTCTAAACCACCAAGACAAAAGATGGGGAAAGAAGGGGAAGCAGCAAGTCCGTGGTGAAGCCTTGGGAAGTCTGGCTTCAGTCTCTGGTCACACTGCCAGGCCAAGGTTTACCTGGGCCAGCCCAACCAGGTTAGGACAGGAGCACATCCACCTCTCCCGACTGTCTTTGACAGCTCAGTGGTAAAACACTGCTGGGGTTTCACAACCCCAGCACGAGGCATTATGAATCAGTCATATATCCATTCAGCCACCAGATTTGTGCAAACTCCATATCTACCAAGATTCTCAGCAAAAATCCCACGACAATCACTGAAATGAGCCTTGTGAGTTTTTTAAGCCTTTTTTTTGAAGATTTTCAGATACTTGATTGTCAAGAACTGGATCTCTTTGAAAAACACCTTTTTCTGTGCAGGCTTTAAGGTAGCAGCTCTGCAGTCTTCCCCTTCCAAATTCATAGGAATCCTTCAAAATGCCAAAATTTGATTTTTGTGAAAACACTTGATCGGTCTGTTTGAGACTGCAGGAAGTTCCCTGTGCTCAGAGTGTGTCACCGCATGGTCTCGCTGTGTAGAGGTGCTTGTAGGGGTGAGGAAAATTAGCAGGTAAAGGATTAATATGTTTCTTCACAGCAAGATCCTCCAGGCCGGTATAAAAATGATATTTCCAGTCCAGCTTTCAGACTCCATTTTAGGATCAAGAGGTGACCTAAACTGTTCCTCATTTAGCAGGGCTCAGGGTGGCTCATGATGACCCCAGCAAACTACCCAAGGTGATGCCCCCCAAATTTTGGAGCATCTACAGACCAAAGATGCTCAAGCACAGCCAAGTCTCTGCCTTTAAAACAAGGAAGGAGGGAGCCCACCTTGGAGAGTAGCTGGAAAGGCTCCGAAGCTTTGAGGAGCTGATCTGGTTTATTAAGGAGCACTGAATGAAATGGAGGAGGGGGGGAGGAGGAAACCATAAAACAACAAAGTCGCTGCTTTAAAAGCTGACACTGCTTTCAGCCTTTGTGTAGCCGCGGTCCCGCGCGCCGGTGCCAAAACGTGCCGGGGACAGGCAGGAATTCTCAGCGGGAATTCAGGGCCCTGAGTCTCCAAGAGGATTTTCAGCCTCCCGGAGCACGGGCCGGGCTGGGGCAGGAGCGGCCCTGGCGTCCATGGAGCCGCCCGGCGGCGCCGGCACAAAATGGCCGAAGTGGCCATTTTGTCCCCTTTGGCTTTGCCTGGAAGGGACCCGGCAGTGGCTCCACGTCCTCGCCCCGACACCTCGCCGGGACGGAAAAACACAAAGCAAACAGACCAGAAGGGAAAAAAAAAAAAAAATTGAAACCCAAACCTAAAATAAGCAAAAAACGAGCGTGGAAGGTTTCGGTAACTCCCCGACATTGCCGGGATGTGCAGCCATGTCCAGCGCCGCTCGGAGCTGCGCGTGAGGCAGCAAGGAACCCGCTCGCACAAAAAAGCAGAAAACAGCCCAAAAAACCACCTTGGGCCAACCCTTTGCCACGGGAAAGCAAAAAAGTGACATTTGCCAAACTAGCCACAGGGACAAGTTGCTTTTAACTTCTCCCAGGCCAGGTGAACCTCTCGGCAAAGCAAGGCTGATCGCCCTCCCAGGCACCCGGTCCTAAAGTTGGTATTAAATATCACCCTTTGAAACAGTTAATCAAAGGTACCGTGAATAGGGAAGGGGAAATGGAAGTAAAAATATTTCAAGTTCAATCCTGCAACAGCTCCTGCCTCTTAGCAATGCTTTTCCTCCATACGCTTTAATGACATGGGGAGTATTTCACATCAACCTCGTCATGGCATTTATTATTAAACAATTAACAGGTATCTTAAGAAATAGCTGCTCATCTCTTAGGGGTTGTCTCGAGTCTGTCTCGAGTCCCATCAGATGTTTCTAAACATCTGGATTATCATTAATGAATCTGATATTTTTATGTACAATACAGGCATCTGTAACTTGCTTGTTACATGACTTATCTTTTATTAAACCTTCTTAAATACATTATTAGAGGTGGCCACAAAGGCAACGGTTTTTCTAAATGTTTGTGTATTTTCCTTGTAAATCTGCATATAATTCATCCTCTCCTGAAGCAAAAAAAAAAAATCCAAGAATTTTTGTTACAAAAGACAGGCGCTACTTATATTCCACAGAGTAATTTCTCCAAATACTAAAAATAAGACAAAAAAATATCTTTCAGGCTTATTTTTACCTGTTCTGTACTCAATTCTATAGGTTAACTCAAACATCTAAAGAGAGAAGAACCTTTTCTGTAATATTTTGTAAAACTCTTCTGTTAATATTGTTTTCCTCCTTGGAAAAGCTGCTCATGAAAGGTGTGTAGGTAACATAGATTTGGACCAAAATATTTAATTTTCAACACGAACCACCCGCCCAGTGCCCGCCCAAGCAGCCCCAGCTCCAGGACCACCATCACCCGTGCAATTCCCTGTATTGTCTGTTCATAAACAAGCCAAGGAGATATGGAGGCAAATACCTTTCTGTGCAAGAAAAGCGATTTCACCTCTTTCTGCTCTCCTTCCCAGCTCCTCTCTGAAAGTGTCTGCTTCTCTCCACATGTCTGGACAGCCACTCAAGGAAAGGTAGGACGATCACTCCAACAATGCTGCCTTATCAGAGCCCGATCCCCCCATGCCACCGGACAGAGATCTACTCCTCGGAGCGTCCATGAACGAAACGACGTGACTACCAAATCCAAGACATCCAGGCTACTGAAGGAAATGCAGAATCACTTTGGGGAAAAAAAAAAAATCGCTTTTATTTGGCACAAGTTCTGGTATTTTTGCCACGTTTCTGTGCAAAATTTTATGGCAACACCACCAAGTTGCCTTAAACTTTCAAGGCGTGTTACTGTTGATGGCGTCTCTGTTGTGTATCACACCTTAACGTGTGCAGGATACACAGAGAGAGCAGTAAACAGGTTGTTATCACAGTTCAGCTCCAGCCTTGGGAGAAAAGCAAGGGCTTAAAAAGCCAAGAACAGCTATTGCTTTTAATATTTAAATTGAGATTTTTTTTTTATTCCTGAGATGAAAACTTTCAAGGCAAGGAGGCAGTAAACAAAATAAACCAAAAAAAAAAAAAAAACCTAAAAAAATATCCTCCGGATTACATCAGCTAAATCCAGGCACTGCCAGCTCAGTGGAAAGGTCAGATATCGTATTCACCAAAAACAAGAGGACACACAACAGGTTAAAACGCTACCGTCCGGCAATGACCGGCTCTGATCATACCAAGCCGATGTGTAAAACCATCCGCCCGTCCAAAAAAACAAATTAGACAACAGTGCTCTCTGGTACTTTACAAATCCAGGAGAAAGGAGGGCTGTTTTATTGAATATAGCGAACAAACCTTTCCGTCCGGCTATTCCGTGCAGCCCTGCGACTCTGCGTGCACCGAGTAGCCTTACGCTGCTAACACAAAAGCTCACTTTGGCAATTCCAGGCATTTTCAGTGCTCAACATACGCCAAAACTACCCACTCTCTGACTTTGGGCTCGTTCCAAAAGGTCCTTTTTTTTTTTTCTTTTTTTTCCCTCTCTCTCTCTCTCTCTCTCTCTCTCTCGCTACAGCCGGTGCCACGTAGAGACGGGAGAGTTGGGCTCAAATATGGCTGCAGCCTCCAAAAAAGAGCCAAGTCCCAGCGTCCCGGCTTCCCCCTTCCAGACGGAAAACAAAATGGCCATGGAGCAGCCATTTTGTTTGCTGCGGGATGGGAGGGAGAAGGGAAGGGAGGGGAGACGCAGGCCAGGAGGGAAGGATGGGGAGGAGAGGGAGGGAGAAGGGAGGGCGTCAATTCGGCAGGAACCCAAAAGCTCTGCAGCGATGCCCGGGCGCGTCCTCCCTTCCTCCCGTCCGGCCCTGCAGCAGGACTGGGCTGGAGGGACGGACATAGAGTCGGCTTTTCCAGCCCTCCCAGGCTGGTTGAGCCTGAGTTGTCCAGCCTGACAGGGGTTACACTTCCTTCCCTGGGCCTGGCTGGCACCTCCATCCCGCCCGCTGGCATGGGCAGGGTCCTGCCCGGCCGCTGCCGGCACCGCAGGGCTTGGGCTCTGCCAGAGCTCCCGATGGGAACCAGGCAGGAGAGCGGAAACCAACCCAGTAACGTCAAACTCCTGAACTTCCCTGGGCAGGAAATGGTGTAAATAACACCCGCAGGGAGGGGGAGAGGAACCCGGCGCGGGCGAGGAGGCCTTGGGGACAGCACGGCCTCTGCAACCCGGACCCGAACGGCACCGGCGGGAGGAGCAACCCAAGCTCTCCTTGCTCAGTCCCGTCATGATGAGCCTGCCCCAGAAACGCAGGCTCTGTCCAGAAGGGCCTTGTGCCTGCAAAAAGCCTCACATAAGCTCCATGACTTTTATCTTTCTACCCTTCCACGGACCAGCACCACAACTGCCCATCGTCTTGGGCAACCAGAGAGGCATTTCACTGCACCCTCATCCCCTAAAGCACAGGGCTGAGCTCCCAGTTAGCATCCAACAAGATGCACAGGCGAATCCCACCCTTGACCACAAACATTAAATCCCTTCAAATCCTGACCAAAAAAAAAACAATGAGAGGTTTTAGAGCAAGGCAAACACCTCATGACCTTTTTTGAGAGTACCCAGAATGGAAAAGCCCTTAGGAGGACACAAACCAACATCCCCAGGGCTTTCCACTTCTGTAGGTGGGACAAGCAGTGAAAATCAGGACTATTCCTAATGGGTAGGAATTTGCAGTGCCCTAAGGATGCAGGGAGCTGGAAATGCCAAAACCTAGCACATCTTTGAAGCTGTTACAGGACTTGTAGGAAAATCCTCTAAGGAAGGTTGTTAATTGGACAAGGCACTTTTTGGCATATTCACATGGGATAAATTTAAGCACAGGAGGCTGGACCTGCCCAGCTTTAGCTGGTCACTGGGGAAGGAAATTTCTCTGCAGAGTAATTCCAAGCAGAAGCAGAATGCCAACATCTCGAGTTATCCTGTGAAGAAAGCTGAAATCTTAAGACTGTTTTTAATAACCACTATTCCTTACTGTCTGATCCCCACCAACTTCCTGGAGAGTAACCTAAGATGTCCAGGTGAAAATTGTTATGGATTTATTGCTTAGTAGCTTGCTATGATTGATTAGGCTTATTAAAATATCCCTGAAAATAAGCATCACCTGTAAAAAACTCTATTGAGAGCCTGCCCAGGATATCCTGACTTCATATGGACTTGGTCTCGAGCCATGTGACCTCAGAGGTAGGTTTATGCACTTCAGATTAACCTTGAAGTCTGGGAACTTTGAAGGCATTTAAGAGATTCAAGTCTGGTTAATTTTACTAGGATTTGGGAAGGCAAGGCTTGCTTGAAAATGCCTTTGCACAGAAAGAACAGTGCATTTCTCGTGCAATACTTTCGCAGGAGAAGCAGCAAGACAAGTTGCAGGATGAAGACCAAAGGGCTCTGGATAATTATAGCAATAGATAAGAATGGCCACATGCAGCATGTCAGGTTGAAGCTAAGAATGAAAACCAATTTCAGCTGCTCTGGCACCAATACTCTCTTCTAGAAACCCCCTGACAAACTGAGGAACTCTTATTCTAACTGAATATAGACACAACAGAACAAGATACATTCACAAGACAATCCCAATAACAGGGCCCCTGGATCAACTAGGCAGCACCTTCCTGGTGGTCCTGAGATGAAGCAATATGGAATTAGGGACATGCATAGGGCCGGGATTGCTGAAGATATCAATAGCACACCCAAAATTGTCTATAGCCCCTCTGCACTAGTTGCTTATTCAATATATCCCAGTCAAATGGGGGAGTGCACAGGGTGAAAGATGGGAATACAGAGAATAAACAAAAGGGGGTGTTTGGGAGGCTTATGGAGGGGAGAGTGTTGACTGTGTAAGCAAGGGAATGAGATCAGGAATGCACAGGTTTTGTGGACCTGGGTTACTGAGGGAGCCGAGACGGTTTGTGTCAGGAGAGGGAGGTGTGAATATGATTAAAATGCTGGAGCTTCACGAAGGGCAAGGGAGGATTTTGCAAGGGAGATATTTTTGCAGCCTCCAATCTGGGCTGCTGTGGGTTTAGTAAACTGGTGGTAGATTAAGACATGGTCATGAAAGGAGTCCCTTCTACAGGATAGGCCTCTTGCTTCAGTGCTTTCTGCTCTCAGGTGCTGTTGCTGTGCTCCCATTCAAGGCACACCCTTGACATTCCTGTTTGAGCTTCCAGTGGGCAGGGCTGTGACTGCCTGGGCTGGTTGGAAGCCAGGAGCAAAGGACTGGTAAGCACATGGCCCCGTAATTAAGCCCTGGGAGACTCTCTTCTTCTGGGACATATCATTGCATGCAGGATTTGGTTCTTGTTCTACACACACATCCTTGCTGCCAAGGACTGTCATTTGATAGTAGGCAGAGCACAGAACTCTCTCTGCCTTCAGGTCAGAGCTGGGTGGAGAGAACAAGCCTCCCTTTTCTGTTTGTGACCAGGACTCGTGAGAAAGGGTCTGTGATGCTGTCATGGGTTTGCAAGCCAGAGAACTCTACCCTTGTGCTTTAGCCCTGGGTTTTTTCCTACCACGCTGCAAGGCTGTGGAAATCAGCTGCTCACCATCATGTGTTTGAGTCGGAGGACTTCCTCAGCATCAGAGTTTCCCCTCTGGCTGTTTGCTGGAGCCTCTTTGGGTCTTACCCTCCTGGTCTGATCACATCCCAGTGAGCCTCTACAAACACAGCCCCACTGTCATCTCTCACATGCTCTCTCCTCCCCACACTGGCCATTTTGCTTCTGGGCCATTAAATTTAGAGTGGACGAAAATGTGAGTGAGAAGGTAACGGGGTTTAGCCATTTGGTGGTGAGAAAAACTTTCCTGGTGAACGAGAAGTGGCACTGGCTTTTTATTCCTTAGTTGGTGCATGTGGGTGAAGCAAATTGCCTCCTCTGGGTATTTGGATGGTACTTTTCCTCGCTGGGCCTGAGCACTCTCTTGGGAGTTTTTCGGACTCCTTCATTTCTGTCTTGATGGAACTGTGTGCACAAGGCACCCTCAGCAGCAACAAAATCATTTGGGAAGGGAAAAACCCCAGACTTAACAGCTGCATCGCTGAGCTCCTGTATCCAGTCCTAGTGAGTCACTTTGCTTCTGTTTCCTCCTTTGGGAGACAGATATTCCCTACCTGGGATGCTGAGAAGGTTAATTAGTTAATGTACTAATTAACCGAATGTGCTTTGAACAATGGAATTGCTTGAGGCAGTAGATCTCATGAAGGTCTAAGTCTAATACTGGCTTTAACAAGATTGGGCTCCCAGTTCTTATCAGCTGGGACACCTTGCCCTCAGCCAGAGAGAAAAGAACTGAACTTACATGCATTATTCATACTATTGCCACAGCACTTCTGAGGTAAAAACGGGCAGAGTCCGTCCAAGCTCTTTCCTGCCTGCTTCTCCCACCAAGGATGAAGGTGGAGCTGCCTTCTCACGGACACAGCTCTGGGGCTCCGGACCAAGAAAACACAGAAATCCAAACCAGGGGTTTTGACAACTTTGCTGGTCTTTTTGCTACATGCCCAGCAGTCTGTTTGTGGCCCACATCCCACCCTGCTCCAAAGGATGCTTGCACACAAGGCAGTTTCTCCTCCCTCTTCCAGAAGATGGATGGTGGCAGACATGGCAGAGAGCACTCTGCCCACTAAAGTGAGAGGTGGCTTCACTTTCCACATCACTGGGAACCATCCCAGGCTGGATTTGGAGCTGCATGAATCCTGCAAGCCAAACCACTTTAGACTTTGGCCAGTCCTGAGTTCACTCAAAAGCCATTTTATGCAGCTTCAAGCATCTTATGTGTCTATGGAGGCAGCTGAACAGGGAAGTCAAAACCCATAGAGAAGGTCTAAGCCTACTGAAAGGTTCCAATAGAGATATAACCACTGGAGCTGATGGAGACTGCCTTGATACAGAAACCTTTCTTGACTTTGCACTGCATCAGGGTGCCAAAGGTACCCCTCAAGAGTGACACTGTTCCCAGGCCATCCTGGGTGACCTGGACAGAAGAGAAATCGTGACAGTTCAGATTGCTCAGGGAACTGAGTTTGATTTCCCAACATGAAGCTAAATTCCCCTTCCACATCAGCTCTGCAAGCTCTGAAACTCTGCAGGTTTAGCTGAGTTCCTCCCCAGCTGGAACAGCAAAGGCAATGTCACAGCTATTTCTTCTGTGTCACACTTATACAATGCAAAGACCTAATCTTAAGAAGCTGAAAATCATAATTAGGCAGGCAAGAACCTACAGTCTGAAAAATTCATCCCTCTTTAGTCTAGTCTGAGGCGTGTATTGTATGAGACTCTCGAGGGCTGAGTTTTCAGAGCTGCATTTTCAGAACTGAACTGCTGCTGAAAGCAGGGCCCTTAAAATAAGCAAGATTAGCAAATGTTCCCACCTCCAGCAGTTCTGACAAGGACACCAACAGACAGATTTTCATCACCCTTTTGGCTGAGCCTTTCTGGCACTGTGGACAGATTTTCTACATGCAAAGTTCTTTACAAAACTCCCCCCTATAACATAGGAGTGGCACAGATTCCTAATTGCAGCCAAGTTTGACCACAGATACCATTACACAGATCCAGCCCTTGGCCTTCTTTGTGAATGCAAAAATGCCTTGGAGAAATAATATTAATATGGCTTTGCTAATTGATGGTGTTTTGTTGGCTTTGAAGCATC